AAAGTGCGTCTTTTAAAAAAACATATAAATTTTAAGAAAATTCTATAAAAATGTTTCTAATTCAGAAGGAACTGATCTCTTGGATTGCTTTAGTATCTTGGGACAAGTTACTTGGAGAGGTCTTGGGACAAGTTACTTGGCATTCCAAGTAATCAGGTATCTCAAGTATTCGCAACACAAGTTGACTCACAAGTATATCAAACCTCGAGTATTTCAGCTTATCTACATAAGCGTGGTCAAAACCATGCGATCCAAGATGTCCTGGGTGTTTCCTTGCCTTGGACAAAGCTCAAGCTGCTTTCTCTCAAGTAATACCCGCAGGGCTTTCACCACCTTCGAACTGAGCAGCTTTGCAACCAGATCATAAAGCAGACCTGCAACTTTGGACAGCCAAGATCCATTCACAGGTGTTTGCCAGGTCACACTGATCGGCCCTCCTGGAGGAGGAGAAATCAAAGACCAAAGGTCTGAACACTGCTTGAAATCCAAGTAGTGTCCCAAAACCCTGTGAAGGTCTTGGACAGTCACCAGTGGGTCAGCCACCAGCCGCACTCTTTGTGCCCTCTGCTCTCTCCAAAGCAGCCACCTTTTGCCTCTCAACCAAAGCAGCAGCCAAGGAAGCCATGCTGCAGCACACACCTATGTTTATGCTTGCTTAGGCCTCCAAACTAGCAACACACAGCTGTCAAAGAACATTCCCACAAGTAACATGGCAAGTCTCAGGCAAGCAGCAAGAACTCACACAAGTAACATGCCAAGACTCAGGAAATGCAACGCAACCTCACGAGTATAACTTGCCAAATCTCAGGCAGGCAACAAAAACTCACAGGTAGTATGCCAAGACTCAGGCGTAATGCAACACAACCTCACAAGTACTATAACTTGCCAAGCATCAGGCAAGGAGCAGAAACTCACAGGTAAAATGCCAAGACTAAGGTATAATGCAACACTGCTTTACAAAATGTCCCGCGCTGTGCCAAGTAGAACCCTGTGCCAAACATACAATTTTGACACTAGTTTTTGGTCAAAGAAAGAAGGACACTTCTCATGTGTTGCATAAAAAACTGAACCTTTTAGAAATTACTATATATAGTAAATCAAATTACTATATATAGTAATTTTTTACTATATGAAATCACTATTTTTAAAAAGTAATTTTTGTATAGTAATTTAAAAATTATAGAAATTTATTGTCTTAGTAAAATTACTACTTCAGCAGACTTAGGGCGCTGTGGAAACTACATGGAGGCCCGATCTGGAGATGAAATTTATGCGTGGGGTGCAGACTCCACTCAGCTTCGCAACAATGGCACTGCTTGTCGCTGGATGTGAAATCAGCGTTTCTTCTGGCTCCCAAGGCTCAGGGCGAGACGGTCATCGTCAAACCTCCAAGGATTTTGGAGGAAGCTGGTCTAGCCCAAAAGGGGGAACATTGGCTGGTCTCAGCCGCTATGTACGGCTTGGTCACGTCTCCAAAAGACTGGAGCTCTTTCAGAGATGCTGAACTACAAAAGATTGTGGGTTCCTATGGCTCAGCTGACGCCAACCCTGGGGGAGATCCAGCTGTTCACTTTGGCTTCAAGCCCATGGACGATCCAAATCTGTGGGCGATACAGAAGGTGGAGGTCGTGCCTTCATCTGGAGTGAGGAGCTGGGGAAAAGTGCTCGGCCATATGATCGTGTACGTCGATGACATCTTGATGGTGGGTCCGAAGGGTGTCACGGATGCGGCATCTCGCACCATTCAGAGTTCCTGGTCAACTTCACCGCCTGAGTATGCCAAGGTTGGGGGAGGCTCGATGAGGTTTCTGGGCATGGAGATTCAGAGGCTGGCTGATGGCTCGTACTTCGTTCACCAAGGCTGCTACGTTCGGGAAGTGTTGGATCGTCATGTGGGTGGTGGTTCACTCCCGTATGTCAAGGTCCCGGAGGAGTCAGATGAAGAAGAAGCTGCCTCCCAAAGTACGAGAAGCCCAGAGATCACAGGTGAACTTCTTTGGCTTTCCGGGAAGCCTCGTCCGGATATCGCTTGGGCTGTCATGAAGATGGCGCAGAACGCGGTCAAGAAGCCACGCTGGACCATTTCGCTGGGCGAGGCTGTTCTGGCTTATTTGAGGCAGTCGCAATTTTGGTCTTCATTATACCAAGGAGGTTCCTGAAGATTCTGCTCCAGATCTCAAGCGTCCAAGCCGCGCCATTCTGCGATGCCTCTTTTTCACCTGGTGATGGACACAGCATTTCGGGCACCATCATTTTGCTGGCTGGTTGTCCAGTGCAGTGGGAGGCCAGGAAACAGACTCTGATGGCTCTGTCCACGGCTGAAGCAGAGTTGACTTCGATTGTGGAGGGGCTTCAGACAGGGAGATCGGTGAGGGCACTGGGAGAGCTACTTTAACCTTCAGCTCTACAACGATAACCGTGCAGCCGTGGTCTTGGCCTCTGGTTCAGGTGGCAGCTGGAGAACGAGGCACCTGAGAATCCGGCACACTGTCTGGCTGAGGCTCTTAAGAAGGGGGCCGGGTTGGCACTTCACTATGGGCGGACGGTCTCACGAAGCCTTTGCAGGCCTTGCGTCTCAGTCGCTTCTGCCAAGGGATTGGTTTGGGTGACGCGGAGGAGAAGGGGCCTCCATGCTCCCAGGGGTCCAGGCAGCAGAGGTGTGCAGGGCGGGAGAACGCTGCCCAACAAGTGAGACAAGTCTGTGGGCTGATCAAGGGTGGCTTGTGCTGCTGGCCGGGTTGGTCTGTTTGCTCCATGTGCTGAAGGACTTGGGTTGGCATTGGGTCAAACGGCTGATAACCAAAGAGGACACCCTGAAGGTGAAGATCATGAGCGAAAATGCTTCACTTCCCATCAAGGGCTCCCCAGATGCAGCAGGCTGGGATTTGGCGGCGTCAGTCGCCGTTGATCTGCAACCAGGGGAACGAAGGTTGGTTCCTTTGGGCATTTCCGTGGAGCTTCCTCGGGGCTGCTATGGCCGCATTGCTTCTCGGAGTTCGTGGGCCTCTAGAGGCGTGGATGTCGCTCGGGGTGTGATTGATGCTGACTATAGGGGAGAGATCAAGGTCATCTTGGTCAACAACGGGGATGAGACTCGAGCTCTCAATTCGCCCGGGAGACCGGGTAGGTCAGCTTATTGTGGAAAAGATTCAAGAGGCCCGTGTTGTCACTTCTTCCTCGCTGTCCTCTACTATGAGGGGGGAGTTGGGTTTTGGCAGCACTGGAGTTGGTCTTCCAACAACCTCATCATCTACCAGGATTGAAGAGAGTGGAAGAAGCCCGGAGAGAGCTGTGAGGCGTTTGTCTGCTGGCTCGGCGAGTGGCCCAACCAGCTGGGCCTCACATTTTCTTTGAGGGTGTTCATTTTGCTTGCCCGGATGAGTCCCTGCCCCAGTTTCTTCATCGTTTGAGGGAGCGAGAGCTCAGGGAATTCCAATGGATGTGGCCTGCGAGTTTGATCGAGGAGTTGGATCGTCCTTTGAGTCGGGGCTCCCGTTCGAAAGTCCTTCATGAGGTGTCGCAGGGCATCCTGGAGATCTCCATCGTTCGGCATGAGAGTTGGCGCAAGAAGCTTTTTGACACGGAGGGTAGCCGCTCCGCCATCTGCCGATGGCATCACTGCGGGTGTGGTCACGGTTGGCTGGCAGGAGGACGGTCAGAAATTCGTGAGAGTTGACAACCGAAGAGGCAATCGATCGATGTGCTACCTCAAGTCGAACTGGCGAGGCATGAGCCTGTTTTTCTCAATGTCATCCTCCACGGCGAGTGGAATGTGACCCGAGATGGCGATCCTAGAGGGTGGGTGCGTGAGAGAGGGATAGTGCTTAGAGCAGGCCTTTTTCAACTGCATTCGAATGGGGAACGCCTTGTTCATGGTGGCCTGTCTACATTTTTGTAGGCCCTATTTCATCCGCACCTCACTTGACCCAGAGCCAATGGTTCTTAAGGGCTTGAGTCTGTCTTTTTTCGACGTGCTCATTCTACACAAAAGCTTGTGACATGAACAACTGAAAAACGGCAGCTGTCACGCACTTTTTCAGACCGGATTGGAATGAACTCATGCCGGCTGTGCCTGAGGGCGCCTCAGGCACAGTCTCTCCCACGAGCGTCGCGGGCCCACCTGTGTTGGGAAGCGTCCCACCTGACAGGTGAGATCAAGGGAGGGGCGGGTAGGGAAACTTGAGCTCACCTACCCTCGAGCCTACAAGCGGGGATGTAAAATTCGGTCATGACACGCCATGAGTGAATTCTACACAAAAGCTTGTAACATGAACAACTGAAAAACCGCAGCTGTCACGCACTTTTTCAGACCGGATTGGAATGAACTCCTGCCGGCTGTGCCTGAGGGCGCCTCAGGCACAGTCTCTCCCAAACTCTGTCAGGATTTCCGTGGTAGAAGGATATCGCCCGTATCGGGCATACCTGCGTACACTCCTGCAAAACAGGGTGAAGTCAACTTTCACATAAGAACAAAAACAAAGTAACCGGGCACGAGAAACGTGCCAGCGTCGTGAACTGACCGAGAAAGCGGACAACATAAGCAGGGGAAATAAAGAAACAATCGACGAAAAAACAACCCGGGCAACCAAACAAGTGGGGAGGAGAGGGAGACGAAGGGGGCCCGCAGCCAACGGCGCCCCAGCACCCACAACTCAACCCCACCCCAAAACTGTCAGCAGAGCTGGAAGAGGGGGGAGAAGAGGGAGAACAAAACAGCAGCAAGAGCAGCAGAGGGCAAACCAAGCCACAAACAGGGAGGGCAAGAGGCACAACAGGCACAAGCCGGAAGCGGAAGCGAGAACAGCACAGGGGCACCCAGCAACGCAGCACAAACGAGCCGAAATCGGAACCACCCGCCACCGAAGGCATGAGGGACGGCACCCTCAGCCAAGCATGTCCAAGAGGGACGGCACCCTCTGGATACAAAGTCAAGGAGGGCAGCACCTCCTGACACAAGCACAGAATAAGAAGGTGTAAAGAAACCAATATACCGCAGTCCTTCACGTGCGCGCACGGCGAGCGGGCTCGGCTCGGGGTGCTGCACTTCCTTCCCGCTTCGGTGATCGGCGTTTTCCTTTACCGCCACCCTTGGCTTCGAGGCCCAGGCCTTGCAAAACCGCCCGGGCTGGTCCACTGGCCATATGGCGTGCTGGACGCCAGCCGAGCTCCTTGTCCCGCCCCTGGAGCACGCGCCATCTTTCGTGGAGAAGGGCTTCACGTAGACCAACCGCCTGCTCGCTGTTGCGAAAGGTGACAATGATCGGCCACGGATCCGAATCATTGGGTTCACCATGTGAGATGGCTTCCACCATGGTAGATAGGGGTATGAGACCTTCAGCGTGCTGCCCCAAATCTGCCACATCCCGGGCTCCGGCCATGATGTACGCCAAGAACTGCTCCGACACCTGCACCTTCCACGGAGTAGGGCGCACAGAAGGGCGCTCGCCGGGAGGAAGCCGGGAGGTGGTTTTCCAACTTGTCCATGCCGTGACGAGGTCTTGTTTAACTGACCCTTTACAGAAAAAGACCAGGCCACGTTGGGCTGCCGCTGACCCCACTCTGTGTGCGGTCTGGAGAGCCAAACGACCGGTGGAGTCAACCAGGTCGTGGAGTCGGTCCACCCGGCCGGACAAGCGGTCAAGATCCTCACGGGAAACCCGACCACTGCCGCCATCACCATCACGACGAGACGAACGACGGCCCGACATGGCATCAGCTGGCAGAGAAGCAAGAAAATCAGGAAAAACTCACACGTAGACGTGTTGTTTGAGCCTGTGCAGCGAGAACATGTGAGATGACGTCAGCCACGGAGCCGCCTCACCCGGGCAATAAGGGCAATAACAAAGGAAACTTTAGACGCAGGATGCACATGGTTCACATGCATGCGCGCGCTTGGTTTGCCTGGGAAATAGGCGCCGCAGTCACAGCAAATCACTGGATGAGCGCCAGCTCGATGGAGCGGTAAATGCTTGGTCAGGCCATCCTCCAATTCAAAAGTGCGGGGACAGTGAGGACAGTCCCAAGTGCGGTCACGGTAGGTACCCTGTTTATGGGACTTAGCAATATGCCAAGATAAACCCGATTTAGTAGTAAAGCGACGACCACATCCCGGCAGAGGACACTCATGCGGACCTTCCCCACCTTCAAGGGCTGGGCGCTTGGCCCAATACTTGTCCACAGCACGATCTGGCATGTCAGCAGCACGGTCGGGCGGTAACACGGACCTAAAGAAAGCTGGAGGGCGGGCTTGCTTAGATGCCAGACGAGTGCGTCTGCTAGTAGGCGGGAGCGGTGACAGCACCATAGGGTCAGCGGAGCGGTTGGCCGCCAATTGTTTGGCAGAGAAGAGAGACATGGAGAAAAGAGACAAGTCAGCACCAGTAGCAAAACACCGGCCCCAGTCCGGACGAAGCGAAACCAATTGGTCAACAACTTCCGTAACTGGCTGATAGAACCACTCGGTTCCCAAAGCTGTAGAGGCAACCTCATCTATGGTAAGCCATGGGGAAGCAGCAGGCGCTAAGCGATGCTCCCAACTGAGAAAGCCTTCATTGTTTTGAATAAATGCGTCAATTTCGCGGCAGGCTCGAGTTAGCTCTGCGGCACGACCCCTAGAGCGGGTTGGAATGGGTGCGGCCCGGATAGCGGCAAGCTCAGCAGCACGACACGGTGGAGTCGAATGAGGCACCGGAGCAAACGGAGCAAACCAGCAGGCCACTAAGCGGGTAGCCCTCTTCCAGGGCACGCCATCATCATTGATAGCGAGTTGCATCCAGCCAGCCAACGGGAAACCAGCAACCTTGAGGCTATCAGCGAACGCGTCACGGAGCCGCTTACCTCCTTGTAAGCCGGGCAGGCGGTGGGTTCCAAGATCCTGCGGAAGAAAGGAGAACAACGCTTGTTTAGGCAGGCGGTCATTTGGCATCCGGGCCAGGTGACCCATCCAGCGCAGCCGAGCTTGATGAATTAAGTCCATAATCGTGGGCACTCCCAGGAAGCCACGAATATGTTCATTGGAGATTCCTTTGACCTGTTGGTCCCAGCGACTGACGCGACAGATTTTGCGGAGACAGCGCATGTGAAAAGATTCCAAGCGGAGACGCATTTGAAACCACACCGTCCAGGTTTCGCACGCATACAGCAGCACCGAGAGAACACAGGCACGGTAAACACGCAATTTAGTCTGAAGGGCAAGTTGCTTAACATCCCAGACGGAGGAAGCAAGTTTCCAGAAAGCCTTGCGAGCTTGATCAAGACGATACGTAATTTCGGGAGAGCACGTAAGCTGCCAATCGATGTGACTTCCGAGGTACCGGAAAGAATCAACAAACTCAACCGGCGGGTCAGTAGAGGGAACCTCTTCCAGGGAGCCAACATGATGAACCAAGGACGCAAGCGCTTTAGTTTTACTGGCAGAAACCTGCAGGCCCCAGTGAACCATATGTGCAGCAAAACGGGTGTGAGCATGACGGAGCTTCTCCAGTGTGTCAGTGATCAGGGCAAGGTCATCCGCATACCCCAATTCTTGGAAAGGCCAAGCTTCGTGGATGGCATATTTAGAAAGATCAGCCTGCCGACGCAGGATGCCATCAACTCGAGTGGACCAGACACGGTTGGGTTGGGAGGCCAACCACGTTTCGATAACCGCGCCAAAGTAAATATTGAAAAGCAGCGGGGCAAGACAGCAGCCCTGGCCTAAACCGGTTTCCAAATTGAAGGAGCCGGAGAGAGAGCCCTCCGAGGCAACCTGGGCAGTTTTATGAAAGTAATACCGACGGATCAAATACAGCAGATCAGGTGGCACTCCTTTGGCTTTCAGGACGTTCCACAGGCCCTGACGGGAAACGGAATCATATGCTTTAATAAGATCAGACTTTCCGATGATTGGCGCTCTCCAAAATCATACGAAGAGTAAAGATCATATCAATCGTGGACCGACCGGTACGAAAACCGCACTGCCATTCAGGCAAGAGCCCGCGGGTCTCGGCATATTCCTGGAGGCGAGACGCAATAACACGAGCAAAGAGCTTGCCGGGAACCGAAAGTAACATAATGCCACGCCAATTGGCACAGTGAGTCAGATCACCAGACTTAGGAAGTGGTACAATGTACCCTGCGCGCCAGGCAGTTGGTAGATCAACAGCCCTAAGCCAAACCTGGACCAAATGCTCATGGAAAACACGCAGGTTAGGGAGCGAGAGCCGACGAAGGACGTCCCCCGGCAGGCCATCAGGACCACAAGCCTTACGCGGTTTCAGACGGCGCACTGCGGCCACAGTCTCCACGAAGGTAGGAACAGCACCAAGGCTGGCATCAGGAGGCAGAACAGCAAGGCCGGCCACAAACTCCGGAGTCACCGAGGCAGGAACATTGAGCAGGTCAGCGAAGTACGCACTCCAACGAGCGAGACGCCCTGATTTGGTGTGAACCCAGTCCCCAGCCGAATCACGGAGCTTGGGGATCGGACGATGACCAGACGCAAGCACTGACCGTAATTCCCGGAACCCAGCGAATTGAGATTGCGGTTCCTTGGCATCGACAAGAGCTTGAATGGAACCCGCTTTATTGGCCCACCAGGTGTTTAGCACGGCCGCAACTTCCCGTTTACAGGTGGCGCACACAGCACGGAACTCGGCCTTGGAGCCACCCTGCTTCCAAGCGGCAAAAGCGGCCTGCCGTTTGCGACTGATAGAGGCGAGGTCCGCAGCATGATCGAGCTTCCATTGTGGACCAGCCGGCGCCAGACGAAGGCCAACAAACTGTTCCGCGGCCTGACGCAGGGCATGAGCCCATGTCCCATACTCATCAAGCAAGTCATCTTCAAGGAAATCAGCCAGACAGGAGTTAACAGCATCAGCAACCGGTGCATCTGACAGCCTGTGAACCGCAAGGGCAGGCAGCTTAGCAGTTTCCGCGGGACGGCACAGGGGCCGAGAGGGGCGTCCACGATAAAACGGGGGAGCAAAACGTAGCTTAACCTTGACGCAACGGTGGTCAGTGTTGAAAACAATACCTGGCTTGACACAAACATCCATAACACAGCGGGCGGAGCGGCGGGCAGCTAGCATGTGATCAATCTGAAACCAACAGCGAGATTTGTTATGAAACCAGGTTCCATAGTGCTTATGCGGGAAAAAGGTACTCATGACACGAAGCTTACCGACCGGTGCACTTTCACATAAGGCCAGGAGGCGCTCGCCATTCGAGTTCGTGTGATGCAAGCTATAAGGGCCAACAATAAGATTTTCATTGAGGAAACCTTCATCCGTCTGACCGTGCAGGTCCGACGCAGCGGGACGTCCCACCCTGGCATTAAAGTCTCCTAACACAAACACTTCTTCAGCGGCAGGGATAGTGCGAAGCATACGAGTTAACTCGGTATAGAAGCGGTCTTTGACATGCTCTTCCGAATTAAAGGTGGGGGCATACACGGAGATCACATTGATCATGCGGCGGTTGATGACAAGCTTAATGCGAAGCAGACGACTTCCCCCAAATTCGCAAAACGAATCGGCCGCTTTCCAAGCCCGTTGCATAGCAGAGTTTAGCGCAATACCGACACCCTGTTCAGCTTTGGCGGCAGACCAAGGCAAGCCCGAAAACAAAACCAGGTGATCACCAAAAGAAATAGATCCCTCGCCACGCCAGCGGTGTTCGGATATACAGCACAAAGAAATTCCGGCATTGGCAAGAACATGACAAAAAGCAGCAGGAGCCTCAGGGTCGGTGCCCTCAACTTGCAGATTTCCCTCCCCATCCACCCGCAGTTGCGAATAGAACGAACGAACGTTCCACATTCCCCACGTTACCTCTTCACAGCGACGTTTCCAGTTACGAGGTGAATTCAGGCTCTGTCCAGCCTTCATTCGTGGCTGCGCTCGCTCGTGGAAACAAGAGTCGGTGTTAAGTGTACCGTCCTGGACAAGTGAAAAACCCCACTGGAGCTAGTCAGGCTACAGCAGGGTGTCTGACACTTGAAGGGGTATAGAGTGCAACCCCCCCCGCAGGGAGGACTGCCCCGGCTCTAATCCCTAACCAAGTGTCCCGCGTCCTCCGTTAGCCCTACATCAAACCAAACAAGCAAACCGGGCAAAACCACCCAACTGTAGGTTACCACTGGCCACCCGGACCCGTAAGCGATCGCCGAAACCCGCCCGGAAGTCCTAGCGTGGGTCCTTCGTGGAGGTGGAGGTACGACTTTGGCCAGCTGTCAGGATTTCCACCGGCTGAAAAACTTGGCGGACTTCTTCTTCGTCCGGCTTGGAGCACTATTCGCTTCCTTCTTCCTAAGCTTGTGCTCCTTGATCTCGTTGAAGAGTTCTTCACTCCCCTTGAGGAGCCCATCCATGACATACCATTGCAAACCTGCTTCGTCAATGGTCTCCCGGTGCTTGATGTCAAAGGAGCTAAAATCCTTATTCGTGAGAGCGTCTGCAAGAACATTGCCATCCCTTCGTACCCAAGTAAGGGTCGCGAAGGCATCAAGCCTCCTGAGCGTTTCGGCCACCTCAATCACAAGAACTGTCACCGGGTACTTGGTAGAAAGGCCTTTGCGCAGGATGAAGGAATTCCCTTTGTTGTCGGTAAAAGCCTCAGCATGGATCTCCGCCGCGTCACCTCCTCCCTTCAGCCACAGCCTCAATGCTATCAAGGTCGCTAGTAGCTCCAGGGCCGCAATCACTCTCTTCGGGTTTTTCCCCCGATGAGCAGCCAAGGTGCGAGCTTTTCAGTGACCTGCAGTGAAAACCATCGACACTCTTTACTATCCTCGCTCTCCTGCAGCCATCCACCAACCCACGCCGAAGTCTCCGTGGCCTTAGCGTCTGTCCAGATCTTCAACGCATTGCTAGACCGTCTGCAAGGCGACCTGACCTCCTCCATCCGACCTCCAGTCTCAAGCCTCCTTGAAATCCAGCTGAGGATGAACAAGACCGACCACGGGATCGTCATTGCCCCCTTGTTCGATTGGATCGCTGAGGACCAGGCGTACAGAGGGCCCAGGAAAGGCTTTTCCCATGGCAACGCCAAAGCAGCAAAGCCTAGTCTTCCAAGGCCGGCTGCAAATTCTTGGTACGAGACCTCCTTTCTGGCCCGCAGAGAACCTATCCAGCCGATGATCCAGGCTGTTCTTTTCTGTGAAAGACCCATGGAGAGCGTCCTGTAGTCTGTAGTGAGCCCAATCCACTCTGTAACGAGCCCGCCTCTCTGTTTCGCCCATTTGAATGGTGCACCCAGGGCCGCCATGAGAGCATATGCAAGAACTCCTCCAATCCTCCCATCCCGGCCTATTGCAAGCACTTCTAGGTCATCCGCATAGAGGAGCGTATCATTGGGAAAGGTGCAACCCAGGACCCAATATACGAGCCTCATCAAAGCAGCACTCAGTCGTGCCCACCAATATGGCGTCGATGCCACTCCAAAGGTGCCCACCTGGTTCACATAAACAGTGGTCGATGTTGTCGATGCCTTGCAGGCCAGGAAGCTGAGCTCGTCCTCCATGTACTTGAACCTCCTATGGGCCTTGGCGAAGTCCCCAACCAACGACAATACCGTGGCACGCTGCTCCCCGTACTCCTCCAGCAATGCACGCTTCTCCCGGGGTCCAGGCATTCTAACCTTGTCACGACACTTGATCCGGTGGTTGACCATCACACCATGCGTCCCATCATGGATGACACGCTTCTTGCCAGATATCTCATCTTCAACCAGCACCGCGAGGGCCGCTACAGCCCGGTTGGCATCATAGGTCGCTACGAAGTCATCCTCCTCCATCTTGACCATTAGACCCTCTGAGACCTCCTGCTCAAGATGCTCTACCAAGAACTTTTTCCAGTATGCCCTTCATGAGGTCCAGGAAGAAGGGTTGCCCAGGCTCTGGTTCATACTGCTTCCTGATGCCAAGCTTGTCCGACAGGATGTTTCTAATCTTCTCCAAGAACCTCTCATCTCTGACCAACTTGAAGGAGTCCCCGCCCTTCGCCATCCTGAAAGCCTCCTTTTCTACTTCTGCTACACTGCCAAGTGCTCTCACCGCCTCCAGCAAAAGGAGCCGCCTCACAGTGACCCATTCCTCGCCATCCAGCACCGTTCTCATCCTCGGAGTCCATCTCCCCGGAGAGGCCAGACCTCCCCCATCATGGAAATGCGCTTCTAGGCCTTTCCACTTGCAAGAACGTGGCGGGCCTCGTCCGCCTGGCACCGATGGATCCATGGGGTTCACTCCTCTCATCTCTTTCTCCTCAACCTCTACTCTTGGACGTTTTCCAGGTGAAGGAACCGCGCCCCCCTCCAGCTTTCTCTTGTTGCAAATGTCACCCCCCCCACGACACTCTTGCAGAAAGGAGGTGATGAGGGCTTCAGCCGTCCATTTGCACAAAGCCGGACTGTGCAGTCTTGAAGAGACCGTTTGCCTTGCCAATCAGAGGGGCGCCCCCTGATCGGCGTGGCAATGGGCCAAGGTACCAACCTTGGCTGTCAAACTGTGGGCAACCTTCATACATAGCATCGTGAAGCGGTGCATAGATGCGCATCAGGAATCTTGTCGGCTTTGGGGATTCTGTGCCAAAATCTGATTGTGCAAAAACCACTGTCTGTTCTCCTTCAATCTCAAGAAGTTGTGAAAATTGCTCGAACTGCCACATGGAAGCTGGTTGATGCCCGGCCACCCTGTCATTGGCAGTTCTCCCAAGATCTTCCGGTTGCTCCATGAGGCCAACTGTCCTCTTGCATGCAAATTGACGCTTCAGCGCTTCAAATGAAAAGTCCGCCAGAATCGTCCCAAATTCTGCCTTGTGGAATCTCTCCCCCTTGTTCCATGGGAAGCCTCTCGGATATGTGGAGCTCCTCAAAGGAAACGGTCCCAAATCATTAGCCCACACAGCTCTCGAGAAGGTGGAACAAGGCGGAGTAACTATAACTGCAAAGAAGATGCCTTTGGCAATCATCTGTAACCACTTCTTCTGAATTGCTGGAATTGTGAAATCTGACTTGCGGTCCGATTGAATGTCCAACTCCGTGATCTCCACTTGGACATTGCATCGTGGTGCTAATCTCCTGAGGAATCCAGCCACTGAATTGCGCCTTTTCCTCCCAGAGAAAACGTAGAGGACACGCAAGATGCCTCACTTGGTCCCGTCTGTGTCCGGGGCCGTCGCTTCCTTCCTGTTCCGAGGATTGCACTCGTAGAGGGGGTGCTTGTCACTGTAGCAAATCCCACACACATGTTTGTATTTGCATTTGCTGAGCTTGCATTTCTCTCCGGGCGTGTTGTACCTGAAGCAGATCAGATCTCCATCCGGTGTGTGGGTTGCACAATGAGGGTTGCCTCCTTTGCTCTTCCCTTTCTTGCTCTTGCCCTTCTCCTTGCCTTTGCATCCCCTCTCCGTGGCAGCCCACTTTGTTGTTGGCTGCTCTCTCCATGGTGGTTGGGGCCTCTTTGCATAGAGTGCCAGTGGCGTCGTGAAGTTCCGCTCCTTGATCGTTGCATCCTTCCATGCTGTCTTCAGAGCAACGGTGAGCGGCTTGCCCTCAGTGTTGGTGATCTTCGCCGCCTGCTTTCTGATCGCCTTCTCATACGCCAGGATCAACTTCCATGGCGGACTGGCGAAGGTCTGCCCTTCAGCATCCTTGGCACTCAAGCCGTAGACATAATCTACAAGGAGGTAGTCCTTGTACTGCTCTGTCGTCTCCTCCCATGCGCCTTGTAGTTCGTGCCTGTTCGAGTGCTTCAGGGAGATCATAACCATGGCGTTCTTCCAGATGGTCAGACGCCGTCTGAGTTCTTCAGCGTTTGTCGGTTCAGGGACTTTCGTCGAGCCTCGGTGCCTCGCCAGTCGGCCCTTGGAGTCCCAAATAGGCACCACAGAATCCGGCTCAATTTCTTCTTTCGACACGACTTCAGTCAGATCTTCGGCCCGGTATTCGCCACCTTCAACCTCCGCCAATTTCTTTTCAACAAATTCTTTCGACGGATAGATCTTGTCTTCCAAGTGGCCGTAGCGCTTCTCCAATGCTGATCGCATTGCCGCCCATTCTCCTGCCACCACCGGCCTCGACCACTGTAAAGTGTCGTACTCTGCGTCGACCTCGGCGGCCCTCTGGCTCCTTGTTGGCATTGGTATAGGCGCAGGTGATCGCTGCAACCTGCACTCTCTCATCCAAAGTCCGGCTCGAGTCCAACTCCCAGTGGTCTTTGAGGACTGTTGCAAGATCATCTCGGTCCTTGGCAAAGTTCGATAACTTCTCGAGCGTTGTAACTCCATGGTGGAAGAACAACTTCTGGTTCTTGAGGGTCACTTCATGTCTGGAGAAGAGGTACTTGATGTCAGTCCCTGCAGCTTCGAGCGCCCTCTTCCCCTCATCCTCAGAGAGCACGGCGCACGGCATGACCGTGGACCGGACCCGCGGTGCCCCGCCCCTTCTCCTGATTGAACCACCAATCGTGCAGCAAGCGTTGCCACACTAGACACAGCGGCGCCTCCCTGTGCATGCTTTGCACTTGTCCTCTCACATGCGATGTGACTAATGCGCATGCTATGCACTTGCCTGCTCACATGCGATGTGACAAACAACCGACGGATCGAGGTGCGACCCCGCCTTCTCCTCCACTGACCCCCGTGCCACAAAGGCTGCGCTCCCTCCCTGCTCCTGAGCGACTGGCTCGCTCATCGGCAGGTATGCGCTACCTCCTACCAGTGTGTTTCCGTCCCAGGTGCGACCTGGGAAGAACCCTTTGCATGAAGCGACACGCAAACCCCATCCCCCCTGAGTGCTACCCAGAGAGGATATCAACATGCCTCAACCCTTGCACCCTGCTCCCCCGGCAACCAATTTTTAGTTGCTGAGACCGAGTTCGTCTCTCGAGTCACTTGTGGACTCGCTCAACTGGCCATCCCCTCCACTCCAACACAGCTTGCATCGAAGTGTGTACTCTTCAGGTTGGGGCAGCTCCTTGTGGACTTCAGATCGCACAAAGAACCTCCTCCTGGCCATCCAGCAGCCCTTCTCACCTAATCTGTGCAGGGTGCCTTGGCCTGCCCTTCTGTACACTACGACAAAGCTGCCCTCCCTCTCCTCTTTGAGGGGATCATTCTGCTTCCTCTTCTTCACGCTTGCAGTGCCACCGTCGTTGGCCTCCTTCTCACTCTGGAGCCTCCATAGATCGTGGTCTCATCGTCTGAAACTGGTATCGGACGGCCAGGCCCTGAGTAGGCCCCCAGGTTCTCCTTCCATGCTTCAACGGCACGCTCGGCCTTGTCTTCCAGCACCGTCCACTCACTTCTCATGGAGCCATACCTTCAACTCCTCAAGGATGGAGCCCTCGTCCAACTCCTCATATGCCTTCTCACCCCTCAGGACCACCACGATCTTCCTCTGCATCTTCCGGACGATTGAGTTGTAGGTCCGAACATAGACGTCAGATCCTTCTGGACACCTGCCCAGCAGATCACGGTCTGACTTCTCCACTCCCAATGCTGCCAGCCCGCTGGGCATTGTCGCCCGTTCACTATGCTCTGACCAGAACCTCTCCCATCCTGAAGGAATCAACCGTCCTCCATAGCCTTCCAGCAGTGCGAACGTCTTGGCGCTTCCAGCCACCGCTTCCGCGTATGTTACATGGGAGGTGCCATAAGCAATGCCATAGAAACAGCCCTCCGGGAAGACATACGTTCTGTCCCTTGGCATCTGTAGCTTCACAAGGTCAAAGCCCACTGCCAGCCAATCGTCTTGCAGCACATACGCATCTCTTGCGATGAAGATAGGGAGCTCTCTGACACGTTTCCCAGCGCCGGTGGTCTTCGACTGGTGCATCATGCCTGTCAGCTGGCCGTCATAGAAACGCAGCCCCGATGTCTTCAGATGTGCCGCGTCGTCAAACCTCATGGAAGCCCAGAGTTTGATCAACTTGAACCATGCACAGACCCTGACTTCGAAGGGAGCCCTTGTGTCAACAACCAGAGTCTCCATTGGCGCAATGAAGCAACCCAGCCAACGGGGCGCCCGTTTAACTGGGGGTGCATTCTGTTCCAGCTTCCGCGTCAGCTCCCTCATGACCATCTGGGGAAAAGCCTGGCCCATCAGTTGGTCCTCCTCCGGCGTCCCTGCCGTGCGCTCGAACCACGACGCTGCAGTGCTCACAGCAAGCGGGATCGATGGTCCCATGCCTTCTTCCTCGCGGGCATACATGTAGTCCACGAGCATCACGCTGTTGGGCCGCGTGCCTGGCTTCCCCATCTCTTCCGCCCCGCTGCCAGGAAGCCAGGTATCGCCTCACCGTCGAGAGACGATACTTGCCTATCAAAGCTTCTTTTGCCCTTGTAGGGTTCATGGCCTTCTTGATCTCGTCGAGAATAGGCGCCTTGTACTGCATCAGCTCAGTAACCAACCTCTCCAGGATCTTGTCAGTCACTTCGTGTTCAGCGGCAATGCGCCCGCTCTTCAACCTCACCGTCCTCCCCAGTGTGCCCCTCTTTGGCGCCGTGGGCACAACAAGCTGATCTCCGGTAGGCTCGAGGGCCTTCACCTTCTCCTTCTCCGCTGCTGCCCTCGCGTCAAGCAGGTTCTGCATCGACCTGGATGATGAAGTGCCAGTAACCCGTTCATCAAGGTCAGACATCTGAACGGCCTCGCGAACCTGTCCAACGATAAACGTTGTATGCCAGGGCTTCATATCAATCCCTAGCCGGTCGGTGAGCTGCTTCGCCAAGGACTGCTCGGTGCCATGGCTCACGGCGAGCTTGGAACCTACTAGCCCTACCTCGGAGAGCAAGTTCAGCATTTTCGCTGACTCTTCCGGGTCGGGGGCACAAGTGCCCCCTTCCATCTCTCCTCTCCAAACTTGAGCTCACCTACCCTCGAGCCTACAAGCGGGGGTGTAAAATTCGGTCATGACACGTCATGAGTGAATTCCTAAAGTTCCAGCAGAGACTGGAAGGGGAGAGCAGAAATGAAGCACGCTTGTGAAGTTGGCTTGATGGTCATGACACGACCACGTTCACTTTGAAGCCCTTTTGCTGATCAAAGAAAACAAAGCGGTGTTATGCCCGTGAGATAATATTGGAACATACTGTATTATATAGAATATATAATATAAATATACTACTGCACGCAGAAACCACAGCATATCGGATCTATGACCCATTATAATGATCCTATTTGCATAAGCCACCAGTGATTTCAGCCAATTACCCGGCGCTTCCCTCCTTCCCTCCGCCGAGCATCTGCCGCGAGAGGTGGGAGACCTGCCTGGGCAGAATCGCTGATCAACAAAGAACAGATCAACCCATCCTATCAGAAATATGACACATTTGACTGTCTGACTATCATACCAATAAGTATTGCCATTTTAGTTCTGTTTTACTGTGATTTGCTTTACTGTACATAGTTGAAGGCATTTTACAACATTCTGGCGAAATTCCTACATTGGTTGCATCGCGAGACAAGTCTCTGGGGATCAACACCGCAACTGAAGAGAGAAAGTGCACTCCATCAGATTGGATGAATGAGATGATCCACCATCATATATCAAACACGGAGCTCCATGGGGTCGTTTCTTGAGGAAACCCACAGAAAAACAACATGTTGGAATACAACAAGGCCAGTGTACAGAGTATGATTGAGTATGATGTCCTGAACCAGGACTTTTGCACACTTTCATCTGCAACGAAGCCTGAATACAACTTTCATGTTGAAAGGAAAATCATCAAGAATATCCAAGTCAATGATGTCAATCGCTGGCACTTGAAACGAAATGGCCAACAAGAAAGAGAAGAAGGAGAAGAACAAGGACTGTGAACTGACTTCAGTGTTGTCCAGAATCTTCTCCATCTGTTCAAGATCTCAACTCTACCCTTCCGATTGAACCATGGACATTCATACAGTATGTACTCTGAAAGAACCCACCAAAATCACAAACCACAAAATCTGAAAACCTCATTCCACATAGACTCCCCAAACAATCAATTGTGACTATCCTTAGGACTCTTTCTGGACATTCATCTGAGCCTTGTTGGCTCGTTGGCGCCAAGAAACTCTCGAAGCTCATGTACTTCACCCTCGATGCGCACTAGTTCATGATTGGCCTCTCAAAGCGGCACGAGTTCGATCCTCCAAGCCAACAGCCTTGGTGGAACTCTAATATAAGCTACTAGCAACAATAAGCTACTAGGAACAAGTGCATCGCTTCTAGTAACAAGTGCCTTACTAGTAGTAACAATGTTTGCTCTTTTTGAAGCCAAGGGATTTCTATCTTTTTCAAGCCCGTAAGTAGGGAGTAAGCTCCTAGCTACTTAAGCTACATATGGAGGCAGGATAGCTCACGCTTCTTCACTAAAGATTTGGTTCCCAGATTTTTAGGGAAACATATCTTCAACGCAAATAAATTATGTGCCAATTTCACCTCATTAATCGTCCATAAACTAGGCAGGCTACTGTCGACTTGAGTCATTTACAGGAAAACATGCCGCCCGCCGCCCACCTTACTGAATGTATTTGTGGGTATCTCCACTCAACAATCATCAGCGTAGTGGTCTACACTTACACCCTTTTAGCAATCACAAGGGAACACACTTGACATCCATTGTGTTCCTTTACGCTTGCGATTTAGAACTGGGAAAACCGAAGACTAAGACAATCTACGCCGCCAATGAAAGTGGAAGCTGATCAACTTGAACTCATTCTGATTCTGTCAATCCAGAAATCCACACAGCCATGGAGAACTTCTGGGGCCCGGGAAAACGCACTGCTTTCTGGATGCTACATTTCTCATAGGCCTGGAATTGCCTTTGGCTCTTTTGGGTGTATCAGGAATCAGGAATTCAAAACGAATACAGAACCTCTTCCAAATCACCACCCATTGAAAAGCACCCCCCAACCTATTCCCCCATCCTGTGCAAGGCCTGTGTTTTGGGTGACCTTGGTTTGGTAAAACTGCTCGGCTGCGACCCCTTGCAGTTCTCTCCGCGGGATGCACGATGCACCACCTTCGACCCTGCATGAACGCCTGCCTGGTCTGACATCTCTTTGAACTCCTGCTGTCGGATCCGTTGTCAAGGGAAGAAAGGGACTCCGAGAGAGTCAGGTATTGCAGATCTGCGATTTAGATCTGACATGATACGACCAGGCTTCGTGGTTGCTGGACTGACCTTCCTTCATCCTTGCCTAGCCCCTCTCGCCGTCTAAAAAAGACATCATGTCAGCTGCGAACAATCCAGGACGATTCACAAATCAATCAGCACAATTGGGGTGCTTCACAAATCATCGATTCTGCAATCCCCTTCACCCGTGGACGATGTGACTTCAGTAAAGAGTTTGAAATCCACGCCACAAATCCAAAAGAATGAGCTTGTCTACGCTGCTGCTGAAACCTGTACATATCTGTAAAGCACCATGGCAACTTGCCTGAGCCAAACCCAGTTCCTGACACTGCGCTGCTTGCTGCCGCAGCTTTCGTAGCTCTGCTGGCCCTGCCGGGGCACCCGAGGCCACACCGGCCACACCGGCCCCCATTGGCACCCGCCGCGGCTGCGGTGGGGAGGCGGAGCGCGCGGAGGCCGTGGCACGGGGCCTCGGCCAAAGTATCGCATAAATATGTAATATATTGTATTCATGAACATTATATATATATATTGTTTTATATTCAATAATTCTGCTTGTTTTGGAGGGAAGCACTTCACATTTGTCCACGCTGTCTCGGGTGTTCATCTTTGTCGCCCATAGACTAACATAGACGCCTTCAATTCTGAGGCACCACATGGCTTTACAGTGAACTGCAAAGGGACGACACGAAATGAAGCAAGACCTTGTGGGCCTGCTGGCCCAGCTTTGCCTGGTTGAGTCTGCTCATGCCAGGCTGAACAACAAGTGTCGTGCCGTGTAGTGTGTTCCCCGCAAAAGCAGTAATGTGGGGCTTCAATACTTGAGGTACAAACAGTGCGAAACGTGTTCTGAGTCTCTAGGTATCTGCTTGATTGGGTGCTGTGGTTGGAATTTTTACGGTTGCAGGATGTTATACAGATGTGCCAGGCTCGCTGTTGGCAACATCAAACAAGTTGCAGCCCCGCAATGCTTACATTAGGTTAAACATAAACATTTAAAAACATGTCCAACGAAACCTGCGCATAATTGCAGCAATATGCGATATGTGAACATTTAGCAACATGATATATAACGTTGTCCCAAATGACACTCCATTCCATTCCGAGCTCACGCAAGATGTGAGCTCAATGACAGCTTCAAAATGCTTCAACTAGCTAATAATTAGCTTTAGCAATTACCGAACATACGCAGTTGTAGGAAGACAAAGAAGCCATGCATACGGCCTCCTCATTGAGGTTTGAAGCACACTCCAATCACTCACAGGTCCCACTTCACCACTGCAAGCAATCAGGCCAAGACTTTGAGGAAACAGTGCTTGTCCCAGCAACCAATACTTCCAACTTCCAACACACTATTTATACTATTACTAGTGCAAGGCACTTGGCTTTTGGCCGTGTCGATGAGGCTGAGTGGTCAGACTTGGAGCTCCTTTGATGCAAGAAATTGTCAGCTCACTAAAAAACAATAAATTGTCCCCCAAACTGGCATACAAGAACTGCACTGCACTACGGCACAACAAACTTGAAACGAGAGCGCAAATACAAGCAACTTTCATTGCCGAATTCTTGTTGACTAATATACAGTAGTTATCTCAGCTCCACTTCCCTATCTTTTCTGTTCATACCAACTGAAGGCGTTGTTAGGATTCAAGAATTCAAGAATCAACTGCTTGCCTTCAACCTAGGTCACCTTTGGAAACAAGAAAGGACGGCCAGGTCAAAATGAGTGGTGCCAAACAGATTCAATATTATATCAGTTGGCTTCAAGCAAACAATCATCAAACATCCTTACACCCAAAGCAATGTGATACAAACATAGATGACTGAAATCATGCAAGCTCAAATCCTCTGGGTCGTGGCTCCCCACTTGAGAGAAGTAGATATACATGTATTGGTTCAATAGAGATCCTGTCCTTGTCGAAGATCTACCCGAAGAGGAGGCCAAAGAGGGCGCCTGGTGTGTCAAAATGTCCTCTTGGAGGTTTGCTGAAAGAGCAAAGTCGACCAAGCATACCAAGGAGGCCAAGGAGGCAGCACTTTACTATCTCTACTTGTTCACTGCCCGGCTTTGTTTCTCTTGTTCATATCTTTTCCAACGGATGTTGCATCATTAAAAAACATAAATTACACCAGCATAGACCCAGATAGCCAGGCAGAATCCCACGACCTGTTGACATGCGACTGGCTGGAACAAGAATGCACGCAGCCTGGTGCGCTTTGCCAGCTGGCAACACCGGCAGCGGCGCCAGCACCCGACCAGCGCCGCCGCCCGTCTTAAACGCGCGCTCAGCCAGCTCACAGCACCAGCACCCGGCACCCTGTCTCCACCAACTGGACAGGCAGCACCCAGCACCGGCGCCCGGTCTCGACCACGCGCACTCTCCACCACGCGCACAGCCAGCTCACAGCGCCCAGCACCAGCACCACAGCCCGCACCAACCCGGCACCGGCACCCTGTCTCCACCACGTGCACAGCCAGCTCACAGCACCAGCACCGGCACCAGCAACCTGTCTCCACCACGTGCACAGCGGCACCCGGCACCCAGCACCAGCACCGGCACCCGGCACCAGCAACCTGTCTCCACCACATGCACAGCCAGCTCGCAGCACCAGCACCGGCACCCGCAGCCAGCAGCAGCACCGGCACCAGCACTGCCTCCACCACGCGCACAGCCAGCTCACAGCACCAGCACCGGCACCCAGCACCAGCACCAGCAACCTGTCTCCACCGACCAGCTCACAGCACCAGCACCGGCACCCGGCACCCAGCACCAGCACCGGCACCAGCAACCTGTCTCCACCACGCGCACAGCCAGCTCACAGCACCAGCAACCTGTCTCGAAAGCGCGCACGGGCAACTCATTGTTATTTGAAGTAAGAACCCCATAGCTTCGCTATCTGGGGAAAAAACCTTGGGGCATGATCCATCAGAGTTTGACCAGTGGAACTTGGGTTTTCACATTGCCTAAGCTTGTTGGAAGTGGCCTGGGCGTCCATCGACAGATTCCACCTCCTTGTCATGGGGTGAGTCAATGGGGCAATGCTGCGAGTATTTTTCACCGACTGCAAGCCCTAACTAAAACACTGCCCTAAAGCAAAGCTACAAGCAATTCAGTGCTTCATAACTATCACTTTGATACAGAAATGGCCACACGCCTATCCTGAAAAATAGCTTGCTTCACTAGCGATTTCGTTTTACTTCCAGGCTTGCGAATGGACACAATCCCCACTGAAGAGCAAACCACATTTTTGGTGCAGTTTAGCGGCAATCCGTTCTCCAGCCTTTCCACTACCTGCGACTACTTCCAATACCAAGCAATACGGAGCCAAAAGCATCCTGTCCAAGAGCAACACTTCCTGACAACAGTCTTGGTTCTGGTCGCAATCTCTGTACAATCTCTTTCCTTGCCAGGGCACTGTGCACGGCGTGGCTGTGGTGCCCGTGGCTATGGCGCCAATGGCTGCGCTTCCTCCAGCAGCGGCAGCGCCACTGGCACTAGCATCGTCCGGCTTCTGCAGCTGCTCGACAACTCCTGGAGGATATGCCACCATGATCCATTGATATTGTCAAGTGTCTCACGGCGTTTCACGGCAATCACTTGCCTGAACTCATCACATAGTCTGTGCTCTTTGTGACATCGGCCGTATCTGTTTCACTGCTCTGTTCTCTTTCGGGTCCTTCGAGGAAAAGGTTCAAGATATCCATAACTCGCAAATTCGATATGCCTGTCGCCAAAAAGGGCAAATATGAAACTGCACTGCATGAAAGGGGTGCAGGCTAGGTCAACCAAAGAATTCTTCTGGACTCATGGAGCATTGAACGACACAAACACACACCAAGGATCCCAATGATCCCAATAAAGCGCTATTAAACTATTAAACCGTAGTGACACCAAAACGGTCGCATCTTGCTCCGCCTCGGGGAAGGATGGGCTCCTTCAAACATCTGCGGGGATCCAGGCCAGGAGCAGAAGCGATCTCTGCTAAGGAGCTATCCAAGCGGACGACCTGCAGGAAGCGGATCAGACTTGGATTTCTACCTCATCTTGATCCACTGATAGTGCGAGTAGAGGACCAGAGGAGACTTCATGATTTCCTATCATTAGCATACGGTTTTAGTCCATCGGTCATAAATGAATATGTCAGCAGCTGCACCTTGTGATGACACTCAGATTTGTCCCCTCCCCACTGTGCTTCTCGCATCCCCGTTAGCCCGTTGTTTGCTTGCTGGATCCCAGCAAACCCGCATCATAGCCACACTTTTTTTTGTTGCGGTCCCAAAGCTTGCATGTGAGTAGCGCAAGAACGACTCACTATACAACTTGCTTGGAGTCCTCTTGACATACACTTGAGGGGAAGCCAATTGGCAGCTCGTGAGTGATACTGGCCAAAAAATGCAAAAAGGGCTACTGGAGAGCAGCAGCGTCCATTCTTGGCCCAACTGCATGGGTCTCCCATCCTCCCGCCACACTTTGCCACAATGATATTTCAGGTATGTGCAACAAAGGGCCAGCTTAAGATGCCTGATTATTGGCTGAATTGGAGAACAGCTTGTTGCCAACTAGCTAGAAACCCTCCACCTACAATATGATGGCAAACACCCAGGAAGCTCGGCCCATCGATTCCATCAGATTTTTAAGAGGGTGCTAGTTCAGCAACCGTTCAATCGAACTTTTTGACCGCCGATGTCTAGAATATATGACCAACCTTTTTCATTGCGGATGATGATGCACATCTGGGTCCAGTCCACTTGAATAACCGCACCTGCATGCAAGAGTTTTGTGCTTGCAGCGGCTCAACCTGCCAAGTGGAGCTTGGACTGCTGATGGGTGTGGAAACTGATGCCAATGTTCAAACCCTCAAATAGTCACCTCCAATGTCTCCAATCCTTGATTCCAAAAGTGCACATCTGCAAGAATTTGACATTTGGTCATACCGTGATTCATCAACAAAACAATAACATAGCACCCAAAAAATTGCGAGTCCCGCCGGCCCCTCCCGCCTTTTTTCTGTCTGGGGCACGTTCCCGAATTGAGCAAAAGAGTGCATGGGGGACTGTGACCTGCGAAAATCTGCGCCTGGGGTAGTTAAGTCTCATCTTGAGAAAGTCTGATGTATCTCGTGTCGGCTTCACCACTTCCCAATGGGATGTCATAGCTGGAATCGAGCGGAGCTGTGATGCAATGTAGTTGGCGTTGTAGTCGAAACTTTCACACTTTCACTCCTGAAAAGGTTGTATTCAAAAGATTGGGATCCGAATTTTGCTTCTCTTTATCCAACCACAGCTCCATAGTAGGTACACGGCCAATTGCATTCCCCTTTGGATCGATATATACTGTATATATATATTTATATATTGGGTTTCTTTGAATAGATTGACTCTGCCTGCAGGGTTGCCGTCTTGCCCAAAGGCTTTCATCAGCCGACTAGTTCAACCAAGAAATCTGCAGGGTGGTGAGGGCTATAGTCCAAAAATTGTCGTGCCACTGGCGCCATTGGGCAGTTGCTGGAGTCTGGAATTGTTCCTCCACGTAGGTAGCGAGTGGCAGCAACCTAGTTACAAAAAATGTCCAAAAACTGTCATGAGAATCTCAAGGTGTAGCCACTTCCCAACAATGATGAAAGCTGCTAGGAGATGCTAGGAGGACTAATTTTATCTCGACCATGACAACCGAGCTCTATGTACAAACCTGTCCACGATTCAGCGGAATGGTCTTTGCCGCCACTTTCATCAGAAGCACATCCTTCTAGAAGCCTCAGTCGCGACCAAACAAATCTCAAAGCTTTCTGGCTGGTGTGGAGCGATGGAAGACGATCCATTGGCATGTGATTCAATCATCATTTGGTCACACCTGCTCCGAAAGGGTCAGCATGCACAAACATTGCCCACATGAAGAACCTTGGCCTTGGACACTATCTTGCACCACTCAGTGCCACACAGGTAGAGTTGAGCTAAAAGATGCTAAAAGGCTGGTTGATCCTTTCCAGTCTAGTTCTGGCCATTTCCAGTCTAGTTGCAGTCAACTCGGCTAGCTGCTTTCAGCCTGGGCCGGCGGCAAAATGGTGACCCCAACACACTAGGATCTATGAGTGCTTAATCTTCCACTCCCATGAAAAAGGAACGTACATCACTTGCTGCATCTTGCTTCCACCTTTTGGGTCAGTCTGAGGAGACAAGCCAGGGGCTGTTGCAAAGCAAGCGTTGCAACCAAATGCTTTGGCAGAACCACCAACAGCGGTTCCTTTGCAGAAACTGTCAGAATTGCGATCGCCCTGGGGAATCAGTATTGGAGGAGTGATCATTTGGTCCACCGGCGAAGGTCAGAAACTGCAGCCATGCTTGGTGGCCCGGCTGCCCACTTTAGGGTAAACGCTAAGCGGAATTCCTGCCGGCCAAACAGTGCGAACATCAGGAACCTCTCAAATTGCAAAGGTGCCCTTATCCTGGCCTTTGGATTCTGCAAGTACAATTTTTTTCAACGTGTCTGAGAAACACATCTTCAGCTTGCAAAGTGATGGAGATGTTCCCCACAATCAACACTGGCGAACATATTTGCTTCGTACTGAATCATTGGGCCGCAGCAAGCCACTCAGTAATTAGCAACGTTGAAGTGAATTTGATCTGAGGTCAGGTACGCAGTGAAATGACAAGCGTGCTTTGATGTTCGTGGCATGATTGTGCCCACGGGGCTTTCCAGCTTCAGTTTCACATAAGTGTTCAGAAACAGGGTTCCCCTCCTTCACATTCCTTCACTAATGATTAATGAATCCATCTCCGGTGAATCCATCACGCAAACTCTGGATCCAGCACGTAATTCTGTTCTCTGCAGGTCTCTGCTACAATAATGACTCAATTACGCATCCGACACCAACAGAATTAGGAACATCCAACATGGCAACTCTTTTAAATAATGTTTGCCACCACTCTTGTTTTTTTTTGACACCAACAAAATTGTGTTTGCAACAACTGACACAAAATTGCTAAACCGGGCGCTGCAAAATGGGAATTCATGGCAACTTGTATCTTGTGTAGGTCGCCTCGTGGCCAACCATTTTAGGAGGGAAATTGCAAGTAAGAGGGCGTGCAGGCACCAACCCAACAAAGCTAGCGCCAAAAAACTGCGGAGCAAAGGGACAACCTGCAGGTCAAGGCGTGCTGGTTGTCTGGAACTTTTCGGAGGAAAGAGGAATAATGGGCTCACTCCCCATTCTTCCAGGTTTAGTGCTCATTCTCTTCACGTTCTCTCCGTGCCTCAATGAAACTAAGCAAAAAGAAGAGAGGTCCAGCCACAAACTGGCATCGCTGGGCTTGTCGAAGAATCCAGGATAACGGAGGAATTGTGTATTTTAAGGGGCTCCATGTGAGGTCAAGAATGCATTGAAATGGAACTGAATAGGCGCCGGCCAATCTTACCTGATTCAGATTGTGTCAATGACCAAATGTCAACTCAAGTTTGTGGAGGCTTCGGACAAAGTACAAAACCAAGAAGTGTCGTCTGGTGGACAGCCTTTGTTTAATGACTTTCAGCGCTTTGTCTGTGTGTTGGTCCCCCCTCTCTCTCTCTCTCTCCACCTCTCGGACAACAATTACAAACCTGTCACCGACCTTGGCTCCAAAACAAATGGACGCTGCTTAGCTTGTCAGGAAAATTGAATGCCTGATCAATCAAAACTGAGCTATGCCGAGCGGCTTGCCATTCAATTGCTTTCCCACCTACGAGTCCTGAAACTCAGATTCATTTGGAATTCTAGATCCTTGCAATTGTAGTCCCCTCGACTTCTAGGACAGTACGGATGAAACTCCCTTAATTGATCTTAATTGTATGTTAGAAGTTCCAAATCCACACACCATCTCCTTTCTCACCCGCTTCCCAAAACATGGCCGGAGTCACCGAAGTCCTCAGCTCACGGGGGGGTGAAGGGCATGGTTGGTGGCTGGGAACGTACACCGATTCGTCCCTTCGGATTTCTTCCATGGTTAAAACCAAATGGAAACCAAATGGAGATGGTCTGACTCCTTCCAGCTTAGCTTGGACACTTTCTGAGTAAGCCGGCCTCAGTATGCATTTGAACCAAACACCATCTGCCGGTACGTTCTGACTAGCGCCGTAGCATGTCCTAGCTACGCGGTTGCTCGAGTTTTGTTTCATCCAAAGGCCAAGCCACAGGAGCAGAATGAGGCCTTGACAAGGAAGGCTCCTGGCACCATGTGGCGTTGCCAGGCCATGTGGCTGGCAGCGGAAACAGGTCTCCCAAGCCTTGAGCGTCAAGTGGCATACGTGGCTTTTGTACAACGCCAACATACGCCAACAATATCTGCTCACATGGATTTCAATTGGATTCTTTCCACATCGATCTTTACCTGACCCACCTTCCCAAACCAATTAGAATCAAAAGGTTGCAGTCACATCAACTGCCACCACCGTCCGAAATCTTGCCACCGAGGGGGTTGTTCGGTTTAACTTCTCAGCATGGCGGGGCCGTTTTTGTCTTGTGCATGTGCCAGTCGCTGTACTTTACCTGAAGCAATCATTGGGAATGACGCTGCTAGTTTTTGGAGGTCCAAAGGTTGCTGGGCCTCGCGCCATTTATATATCTCCAGTCTACATGTAGCACTTGTCTCCAATGTCCTCTCCCAGGCTCCTCTCTCCGGAACTCGTTGAGGGAGGACTCTTAGCGGAACTCGTTGAGGGGGGACAGCTGGCCAAATAGAGTTTCAGAAGGTCCACCTTTGACAATGCCGAACGTTAAGGCACATGCTGGCCAAGTGTGCATGCTTCAGTCACTTCAGTCTGTTTCTTTTCTATGTTTTGTCTTGTTTTGGTTAGTTGACCTTGGTGAGCTCTATGGACTTCAAGGAGCTTGCCGAGCTGGCTACTTAGTAGCCTTCAACTGGAGTTCCTGACAGTCTCACCCCTGGTCTCACTGATCCCCAGAGTTGCCGACGTTCGAGAACACCGAGAAGAGCGGCAGGTTGAAGGCGGCAGCTGTGACGCCAAACCTTGGCAGAACCGGGCCAACATGAGAAGTGTTGCTCTGCGAGTCCCACACACAAACCATCGCATTTTCTGAAATGCAATCTTTTCAGGGAGGTAGGCCGCTAAGAGGTAACTTAGATGAGTCTAGCCGCCAACTAAAGTATGAGTGGTAGCTAGTGAGCTTAGGAAGCTCCTAGCTAGGACGCAGGAAAGCTCGCACTATTCATGCGGTTCCTAGATTCTTAGGTAAGCTTGCCACTTTAGGGAAACTGTATAAGTCTTTATCACTTTGCGGTGCTTGCACTTCTGGACCACGATGTGTGTGTGTGCCCCTTGTAGTCACAGGGATTCTTTTGAATTGTGAACAGGATTGCCTTGTTTAGAGCAGGGGGCATGGCAGTTGTTTCCCTAGCCATGCCAACGAAGCTATGGGATTCAGCCGGAAGGGAATGTGGACGCACATTCCTGCGCATCTGCAGTCACGCATAGGGCTTTGGTTTCGACTTGCAGCTGTGAGCGGACGACGTCATTCTGTCGATCGATCGTTCGATGGTTCCTTTAGATTTGCTGGCCATGTTGAACTTGATGGACCTCCACTTCTTTTCAGGCCTCTTCACCTGTACCCTTAGGAAATGGTTACAAGTTACATTGGTGGCATGTGGATCCAAATTGGTGGCATTTGAATCC